ACATAATTTTTAACATAAAATTTCACAAAAGACAGACATTGGTTTATACCAATGTCTGTCTTTTTTGCAGACTGCACAAAAGGCAGACATTGGTTTATACCAATGTCTGCCTTTTGTGCAGTCTGCAACTGTAGAGGAATCTAGACCCAAAATACATCTTGCAGAATGACTATCACAAAGATTTGATTTGTCAATCTGAGTTAAGTACATTCCTGTATGATAAGTCCTGAAATTATAAATGTACTACATGATTTAGAAACACATGTTCTTTATGTATTTACAGTAATAATTATCTGATAATTAAATATACAAATTTAACAATTTGATTGACAGATTTATTAATAAACACGGAAAATGAAGATAATCTAGAAATAGGTCTTCTAAACTCATCTTTTTTATTCATTTATGACTCAATAATAATAAAAAATTTAATTATTATTAAATCTTCATATCAGCAATAAAATGTTATATTTAATTCTTTGAAAAAGCTATTTAGTAAATGTTCCTCTACTTATAAATATACATAAACAATATGTTCCATTTAAAGCATATCACTATTAAAAAAATTTTAAATAAAATTAATGAACAATAAACTACTAAAAAATTTTTTTCCCCTCAAAACTTAATATATTTAAACCATTAAAATGTTAATTGTTCATTTAAAGTATTTAAGGATTTTGATAAGAATATAGATTTATATTTTTTTTTATAATTAACAAATATACATAAACAGAGATTGTAAAAATTAATCATAAAATAAGATTAATTTTAAAATCATAATGCTTAGAAATTACACTGACAAGTGATAGTATAATCATCCTAAATATATTCAGTTTTTCTAAAATAAAAATTTAAAATTGGCAGATGTTAGATTAATTTTTAGCCATAAACTTAACACATTTACATTTCATAAAAATAATAACAAATACAGATAAATTGACAGTCATGAGCTGTCACCACTTATTAATATGGGGGTCTGAGTAACAGCTACTACTTTAATAACAAATTATATACAAATATTTTATTACTATGTAAAGTAAAATTAATTTATAAGTAAGTATATTGGTATTGAGACTTGTTGCAGATATATGTTTCATAAATTAGTTTCATAACTGACAATACAAAAATTCAAAATAAAACATTTAATAAGTACTTTTGCTTGTTACACTCAAGCTTTTTTAGAATATTATGAAACTTAAAATTAATTTATTTTAATTAAATTAGATATATTTTATGCTATTAAGGAGAATGCAAATGTGTTATATATATATATTTAAGAAGTCCTTTCTTTTAACATCAGTTTATGCTATCTTTGCACAAGAGCAGAACTATGATCCATAGTTTTTTCAGATTCTTTGCATAATCTGCACTTTGCATCTGTGGGTGATTTTATAATTTTCACTTTGATTGCACTTGTTTGAATGACCTGTTCCTTGGCAGTTACAATTAATTTCTGAATTTCTTTCTTATAGTTCCTGATGTTGCTCAAATTTGATATGAACATCTTTCAAATGTTCATATCGAATTTGAGCAACTTTTCATTAAAATCAGAACAGATAGCAAATGACAGTTAATGATTTCAAGTTATTTGGGAAGTCTTCTTGTCAGTTCCATATAATTTAGACCAGATTTTAGCACTAGAACTGAGCTTAATGTGTAAAAAAAGAGTAAATATAGTTAAATAAGAGAAAGAAAGAATGGAAACTAGGTGTCTTGACATGATAGATTTGTAATGAATTAACCTTGAGTGATAAAATAATTTGATGACTTTTATTTAAGCTGATATTTCAATTAAACTAAAGTAAGTTTTCAATTTCAAAAATATCAAAATTAAAATTAATCAGAATCAAAATAAAAAATTCAGAATTCAAATTAATCAAAATATAAAGAATAATTTTAAATTTGTTGAAAATAAAATAAATGTTTGCATTTTATGTGTAAAATAAAAATAATTTACTATGTAGTATGAAAACAATGTCATTTTTAAAACAAAATAAATTATTCTTTCATCTGATTTGTTTGCTTCTCAATCAAAATAAGAGTAGTTTTGTATGGCAGCATTTCATCTGTAGTTACCTGTACATTAATATTAGAATTATATTACTATACAGAATTACAATACATTAATACGTATTGTAATTCCTGTGGAGATTTCAGTTTCAATTATTGGTAATTCAGACTATCAAAAATATATTGTAACTAATAAAAGATACTAATTTAACATTTAAAATTTTAATTTATTTATATTTTTTTTCTAAAAATGCAATGGAAATTGATTTATGAAAAAGTAATAACTATAGTAGTATATATTTTTTAATTCTGGTTATTTATTTTCTTAATTTATATCAATATTTTAAAGTAATTTTTCACAATTTTTAAAATTTCTAAATTTAATAAACAATACTTAAATTGTAAACCCTAGTAATTATACTGAAGCACTAAAATTTTTGCACTGGGTCATCCACTCATTTATTAGGATTTATACATCAACTACTCAGTTCCTTATACAAATATTTCCGGATTTGTTTTTATAAATATAGTAACGAATGGTTACTATATTTATGATATAAAATATAGCTTTTTAAATAGCACATGCATGACATTTTAAATATTCATCTTTGCCAAGTTGATTATAGCCAAGGACTTTATAAATATAGACTATTAAATGAGAAATGAACTTTAAATTGTTTTATGTTTATAAAAGTCTAGAAAGTCAAAGTCTTAACTTTGACTTTCTAGACTTTTTTTAATCATTTTATGAAAGTTTATTAAGATTTTTATTAAGTTTTTAATATTTTGAAATTCAGAAAAATTTTGCTAATTAATATCTAAATAAAAAAGTTTTTTTTAAATATCTCAATATTGACTTTTTGTTTTTTCCAGTTAATTTTTCCTTATTTGAAATTAGAATGCCTTTATTTTGATCTTGGTTTACCTTATCGTGATCAAACCAATGATCAAGTGACGTTTGATGCTGCTTATGCTATCTTAAAGCATAATGTTGGAATTAAATGTGCCACAATTACCCCAGATGAAGCCAGAGTGGAAGGTAAATTAATTATTTTTATATACAACTATTTTAATTATTAAATATTTGCAAATTAAGAAGACATGAAAAGTATTATCGATACCAAATTGAAAAATATTTTTATTGAACTATTTTTAATTATTAAACTGAAATGATATTTTGCAATTTTTTTTATAATACAGTAAGACTCCGCTTAACACTGCCTTGATTAATGCTGATTCAATATAACGCGGTCTGCTCGAAGCCTAAAAAATGCTAAAAATATAGGCTGATTCAAATTAACACGGTATTTCATTAATTCATATATAATATGATTATTTCCAAACACAAACCAATCAGCAAAAGGCAGCAACTCATTGTAGCGCTGTACATTGTTAAAATAAAATTATAATATGAGGTTCAGCTGCTATTCTCCAATTACCTATTTTGTTTTTACAAAATTTGTATCATTTTCAGAAACATGTTTATAATTGTTATATAGAAATAAAATTATTTTTTATTTTAGATTATTTTAAAAAAATTTTTAATCAATTAAGTTATTTTATACTAGTTTATTTAGTTGATGGATAAAATGTTAGAAGATTTTCCATTTTTAATATAGTGGAATCATTCTTTTTATTCAATTTAAAAATCTTTGTTAATAATTTTGTAACAGTTACATTGTTTTATAATAAATTTTTCTAGTATGATATGAAATAAGTATTTTTTTTTATTACAAATATGTTAAAATAATCTCAATTTGCATTTAATAGACAACTTAAACATTTTAATATTTATTTTGATGAATTTTTATGGAANAGTTTTTTTTAAATATCTCAATATTGACTTTTTGTTTTTTCCAGTTAATTTTTCCTTATTTGAAATTAGAATGCCTTTATTTTGATCTTGGTTTACCTTATCGTGATCAAACCAATGATCAAGTGACGTTTGATGCTGCTTATGCTATCTTAAAGCATAATGTTGGAATTAAATGTGCCACAATTACCCCAGATGAAGCCAGAGTGGAAGGTAAATTAATTATTTTTATATACAACTATTTTAATTATTAAATATTTGCAAATTAAGAAGACATGAAAAGTATTATCGATACCAAATTGAAAAATATTTTTATTGAACTATTTTTAATTATTAAACTGAAATGATATTTTGCAATTTTTTTTATAATACAGTAAGACTCCGCTTAACACTGCCTTGATTAATGCTGATTCAATATAACGCGGTCTGCTCGAAGCCTAAAAAATGCTAAAAATATAGGCTGATTCAAATTAACACGGTATTTCATTAATTCATATATAATATGATTATTTCCAAACACAAACCAATCAGCAAAAGGCAGCAACTCATTGTAGCGCTGTACATTGTTAAAATAAAATTATAATATGAGGTTCAGCTGCTATTCTCCAATTACCTATTTTGTTTTTACAAAATTTGTATCATTTTCAGAAACATGTTTATAATTGTTATATAGAAATAAAATTATTTTTTATTTTAGATTATTTTAAAAAAATTTTTAATCAATTAAGTTATTTTATACTAGTTTATTTAGTTGATGGATAAAATGTTAGAAGATTTTCCATTTTTAATATAGTGGAATCATTCTTTTTATTCAATTTAAAAATCTTTGTTAATAATTTTGTAACAGTTACATTGTTTTATAATAAATTTTTCTAGTATGATATGAAATAAGTATTTTTTTTTATTACAAATATGTTAAAATAATCTCAATTTGCATTTAATAGACAACTTAAACATTTTAATATTTATTTTGATGAATTTTTATGGAAATAAACTAATAAAATATTGAAAATTTTCAATATTTAATTACAATTTCTTTTTATAAAAAATCTTTTTATCAAAATGAGTAATAAAAAGTTCAATTTTTGTTAATTACATTTGCTCTTGTTTACTATTTAATTTTATTATTTTAAAACTTTTCAATATTTATTCATACAATCAATTTTAGAATTTAAATTAAAGAAGATGTGGCCAAGTCCAAATGGTTCCATAAGAAACATTCTTGGTGGCACTGTTTTTAGAGAACCAATAATTTGTAAATCAATACCTCGATTAGTTCCTGGATGGACAAAACCAATTGTTATAGGCAGACATGCTCATGGAGATCAGGTAAAAAAATTTTAAATTTTACAAATCCATAATGAACAATTTTTTGTTAATATAACATAATTACTTTAAAACTTTATTAATTTTTAATAATAATAATAATAATAATAAAACTTTATTAGCAAAAAGAAAGTACCCTGTTGCCCAGGAGCAGGGCAAGTACAAATATAACAGTAAATAATTTTTCATACAAACATTAGTCTGTTAATTTCAACATATTTTTTATTAGTTATATTCTAACAAATCATAAAATTTAGTTGGTAATTTCTTAATTACAATTTTCTTTTAATAATTTTAATAACATAGTTATATAAATTATATAGTTCCATCTTTGATAGTGTATTTAGGTTTTCTCTAAAATCATACATTGGGCTTTCCTGAATTGTGTGTGATATTTTATGATTCTCATATTTCTATAAGTTTCTTACAAGCCTTTAATATATGTATTATCAAGAAATCACTAGAATTTCACCAATAGCAATTTGTGTAAAAAAAGTATGGTTTCTCATAAATAATGAATTTTTGTTCATTTGCAGTTGAGCAATTAATCTTTTACAATGATTCCTATAGATTTCTTTATATTTGGTTGAGATAAAAGTGTGTTCATAATTTTTAGATACCAAGATTGGTAAGATTCAATTAAAAGTGGTACATGTATCAAAAGCTTTTTCAATATATATGAAAACCAATGCTCATGCTTCTTATGCTTTTTTATTAAATGAAGTTGAATTAATAACAACAACAGAAAAATAGTCAGTTTTGTTTCTCTATTTCTTACATATGCGTATTGAAATTTAGATTCTCAACCCATTTCTTTAGTTTTTTGTTGAAATTTTTTAGTTGAAATTGTCGTCAAACATTTTCTTATAGTTGAAAGGAGATCTATTGATCAATAATTTTTGGGAGATGATTGTCTCTGTTTTTAAATATCATATAAAGCCAAACAGAATCTCATGAACTTGAATAAGATAGAGCATTATATATTGACTTGAATAGATTAATTAACTTAATTGTTGCTGAATGGCAGTAATAGTTTGAGAAATTCAGTCAGAATGTGATCATTAATCAGTGATAAATAAATATGCATGTTATTGAGTTGTCTAATTCTTGTATTGTAAAGTTTGAATCCAGATATTATTGACTAACCTGAAATTTAATTGAACGAATGAAATTCTAGGAAAAATACAACTATGAAAATTTAACTGTATATCAAAATTTTTTCTGGAAGATTACTGCTGGAATTAATATTGAAATGAAATTTGCAAATTGTTGACCAAAAGAATTTATTATTCTCTCTATCTTTAATCAAAATTATTGAACATACAGAAAATCAAATTTATAAAGTATTGTTTTTTCTTAGCTTTAAGTAAATTATAGGGATTTTTTTTAACATTTTTATAATTAAGATGATTTTGGTTATTTGAATTTTTATTGAATAACTTTAGATTTTGCTGTTTATTAACTTTATGTTATGACAACATTATTACTATAACTTGTCTCTTATTAGATGTATTAATTAAATCTGACAACTATTCTATAAATCTGTTATTGAGGTATTTGATATTTGATCTGAATTTTTTAATAGTATGGAACTTAATTCATTTGATTTATCTCACAATTTTTGTGGACTTAGATCTTTATCCATCTGTGAGACAACTTCTATGAATCTTTATCCATCTATGAGTTGAAATCAGTTACTAGTTTAGTAGTAGATAATAAGAAAGATCATCCCACTTTTTCAATACTTGATTGACTCAACAGAGGTCCTCCATGTTTTGCCCAAGATCTTTGTTAAAAAACTAGAGTTAGGTTCCAATCCAGAAATGAATAAAAAATTTGTATTAGATTAATAATATCCTCTTTTCCTAGTTGAATACATTTAACATGCACAAACATAAAGAATTCCTTCATATTACTGAAATCTGAAAGAAATGTGCTAGCAGTTTTGGAGCAACCAGCCTCCAATTTTTCTATTAATGTAATTATTAAAAATTATATTCTAGATATAATTTATATTAATTGAGTAATTCTGTAATATTAGATATAATAAAATATATGCAAATCTAGAATATAGTATTAATCTGCTTTTAATAAAAGACAACAAAATTTTTAATGTTTTAATATGTTATAATGTTTGAATTTATAAATTTAGTTTAATTAATTGTTTTTAAATTTACAGTATAAAGCAACTGATACTGTTATAACTAAACTAGGAAAAGTAGAATTAATTTTTACACCAAATGATGGTGGACCTAAAGAATCATTAGAAGTATTTAACTTCACAAAGACAGGAGGAGTATCAATGGCAATGTATAACACAGATGAGGTTAGTATTAATTAATTAATAAAGCAGTAAAATTTATTCAAATATTTTATTTAAATGATATTTGCCTTCTTTTCTTTCATTTAGTATCAAAAAATTTTATTTAATATTAAAATTGTGTTTATATATTATATTCATTTTTCATTTTGAATGGCTTGATTTATTTATTCATAACAAATAATCAGGTACAGAAGTCCATATTTTTTATTATCAGAAATATTTTTAAATCAACCTCATTTATTATTCATATTTATTTTAATTTATCATAATATTTCAAATATTAAATTTTAATATCAAATAGAATAGTATTACAAAATTTTTATAAAATAACATTTTTTTTAGAAATCTTAATAATGAACCACTTTCAAACTTTTTTTACACCAGCAGTTTATTTTTCTCACTAACAACAATCCACTAAACCTTTTTATAACAGTGTTGTGTCCGTAACAAACTTCACTAACGTTTTCGACCTCCACTGAGGTCTTCTTCAGGTGGTGATTAAAGGGTGTCTCCTCTTGACCGTTGGAATGATGACGCCCGAGATGTAAATAATGCGTTTCACCCCTCCACTTGTCCCAGTTCAAATTCTTCGAATAAGTATCTCCACGCCTGCGCGATCGTCTCTCCGTCTTTAAAGTTGGTGCAAGTGCCCCAATGTTGGCTTTATAAATCTCCCAGGCCTCCAGGTGACGGATGTGATCAATGTGAAACGCCTGTCTGATTACTTTGGTGTTTTGGAAGTCCGCCCGAATTTCAGGGTCGGTAACGTAGGCTGACAAGGTGGTGGTTGTGGTCCTGTTATTTTTAGATTCCATAGAGATTTAGTTTACATTGGCTCCACCATCTGCTCAACACAAAAACGATTGCGTGAACATCAATCGGATATTAAAAATAACAGGCACACCACTGCTTTGTTTGTGTTTATTATCTTCCCTATTGATTATCCAGTTGTTGATTATGCACTTGCTATAGCCATTCATTAAATATATTTTTATAACCTCTTGTATTTCAGTTGATTTATCAATTACATTGGTGGCTCGTTGAGTGATTTTATCAATGTACATGTAAAAAATGCTTTTCTTGATATAATTGGGTAATTCAGATGTGAAATGCATAATGCTATCAACAGTATCTGGTTTTTTGTATTTTTTTAAAGGTCGCATCAACCAAAGCCGAATATTATCAGGCTAGAAATGGTTATAATATTAATAAATTATGAGACAATTTGGCAATAGAATTAGGCGTTTGGTCTGGGTAGTGTAATTGACAATGCATCTGCACAGTAAGTAGGAGTTGTGGGTTTGAGTCCTTCTCCGGGTCAATTCTTTTCTTTCAGTAGTTCTAAATTATTTAATTAAAATTATAATTATTAAATTTATCAAGAGATGGCACCTAACGCCTAACTCTATTGCCAAATTGTTTCATAATTTATTAATATTAAAGCCATTTCTAGCCCGATAGTATTCGGCATTGGTTGGTGTGTAGCTTTATAATATATCGGGTTTAGTGATGATGTTTGTTTATATATATATGCCTTGCTGGGATTTGCTATACTGGAAGAGGAGATTGGATTGAGGTTCGGGTAGCGTAATTGGCAATGCATCTGCACAGTAAGCAGGAGTTGCAGGTTCGAGTCCCACTCTGGGCTGATTCTTTTCTTCCAGCAGTTCTAAATTATTTAATTAAAATTATATTTATTAATATTATAGCTGTTTCTAGCTTGATAATATTCAGCATTGGTTGGTGTGTAGCTTTATAATATATCAGGTCTAGTGGTGATGATTGTTTTTTAAAGGTTGTCTTGTCGTTATGTCTAGTGACTAGAATATTTAAGGATGGTAACTGGCAGTTATTTTTGGGTTCTAAATTAAATTTAATATCTGTGTCTATTTTGTTTACATGTTCCAGAATTTGATTAGCCTGTATAATATTGTTATCATATACCACAAAGCAATCATCAATGTAGCATTGCAGTTCTATAATACCTTTAATGTTGGCAATCTCTTTGTACTTAGTTCAGCTACAATGGGACCTATTACAGAACCCATCAGGATACCATTATTCTGTCTATAGAACTTTCATCGCTTATAAAGGAATTATTTTCTAATACCATAATTACCATGTCTATAATCCATTAGTGACATATAAGGCTTTTCAGTGTTTCTAAAATTCGGTTTTGTTTTATAGACATGTTGCATATGTCCAAGGAGGCTAGTCTAAAACTAGGTTTGAATGCTACAGTTTTCAATTTTTGTATGAAGCAATCAGTACTCTGTATGCTGTAAGGTGATTTTTCTATGGTGTTTAATTTTCCTTTAAGATAAGCTCTAGGTTGTAAAAGATATAGCCTTTTATATCGACCAGAGATCTATACGAAACAGGATCTTTGTTTTGACTCTGTATGAAAACTTCAGTATTTTGTTTTCTGCTTTTAAAATAAAATGTTTTTCAGTTTGGTTAATTAAGTTTTGTTTTTCCAGTTTGTCAACGATTGCTTTTAATTTTTTGTTTGGAAATAAAATGTGATTTTCTAAGGCTGGTCTTTTGCTGAATGATGGTGTAATAAGTCTAGTAGTAAAGAAAAGCCAACATATTGTTTATAAATTTAATCTGTTCTATGTTTGTTTTGGAAGATTTCCTCAAATCCATTATAGGACTTTTATGTTTGTTCTCCTGTGTTATTTTATATTTTTGAAATTTTCCTGTATTTCCTGATATTTTATCACTTTCAGACCTACTTTGATCTCAAATCTTAATTTTAATATAATACTAAATAACAAACTTTATGTAAAACATGTTACAATTTCATCAAGATGAACAAGAAATTTTGCATGATGTGCAAAATTGAAAAATTAATCATATTCAGCAGTTCATCAAAATTATAATTTTTATTTGAGTATTTAGTTATAGCTGAACTACAATTGTGATTTAAATTATTACAGAGAGATGGCTCCATTAGAAAAATTATTTGATAACCCATCAAGGAGACTTCATAGTTTTTACTTATTAATTAATCTAACACTGTTTCTATATTTATTAAATTCAATAATGAAATTTAATCCTTTTTAATAAAGTAATTTTTTTGTGATAGAATTTTGAATACTTCATTATTTTATAAATTAAGTCTACATTTACTGTATTTACTTACATATAAGACAATTTTGCATGTATATTTATTTTAATTTATCATAATATTTCAAATATTAAATTTTAATATCAAATAGAATAGTATTACAAAATTTTTATAAAATAACATTTTTTTTAGAAATCTTAATAATGAACCACTTTCAAACTTTTTTTACACCAGCAGTTTATTTTTCTCACTAACAACAATCCACTAAACCTTTTTATAACAGTGTTGTGTCCGTAACAAACTTCACTAACGTTTTCGACCTCCACTGAGGTCTTCTTCAGGTGGTGATTAAAGGGTGTCTCCTCTTGACCGTTGGAATGATGACGCCCGAGATGTAAATAATGCGTTTCACCCCTCCACTTGTCCCAGTTCAAATTCTTCGAATAAGTATCTCCACGCCTGCGCGATCGTCTCTCCGTCTTTAAAGTTGGTGCAAGTGCCCCAATGTTGGCTTTATAAATCTCCCAGGCCTCCAGGTGACGGATGTGATCAATGTGAAACGCCTGTCTGATTACTTTGGTGTTTTGGAAGTCCGCCCGAATTTCAGGGTCGGTAACGTAGGCTGACAAGGTGGTGGTTGTGGTCCTGTTATTTTTAGATTCCATAGAGATTTAGTTTACATTGGCTCCACCATCTGCTCAACACAAAAACGATTGCGTGAACATCAATCGGATATTAAAAATAACAGGCACACCACTGCTTTGTTTGTGTTTATTATCTTCCCTATTGATTATCCAGTTGTTGATTATGCACTTGCTATAGCCATTCATTAAATATATTTTTATAACCTCTTGTATTTCAGTTGATTTATCAATTACATTGGTGGCTCGTTGAGTGATTTTATCAATGTACATGTAAAAAATGCTTTTCTTGATATAATTGGGTAATTCAGATGTGAAATGCATAATGCTATCAACAGTATCTGGTTTTTTGTATTTTTTTAAAGGTCGCATCAACCAAAGCCGAATATTATCAGGCTAGAAATGGTTATAATATTAATAAATTATGAGACAATTTGGCAATAGAATTAGGCGTTTGGTCTGGGTAGTGTAATTGACAATGCATCTGCACAGTAAGTAGGAGTTGTGGGTTTGAGTCCTTCTCCGGGTCAATTCTTTTCTTTCAGTAGTTCTAAATTATTTAATTAAAATTATAATTATTAAATTTATCAAGAGATGGCACCTAACGCCTAACTCTAATGCCAAATTNGAATTTTGAATACTTCATTATTTTATAAATTAAGTCTACATTTACTGTATTTACTTACATATAAGACAATTTTGCATGTAGGATGAGGTGTGACTTTAAAGATCAAAATAAAAAAAAATTAGATTTATTAATACAATTCTAATTTTATTTTGTTATAATCACAAATAAAATATCAAATGCACGTAAATGCACACATTTTCCAACAAAAATTACTAGCATTTTAAACTTTAAGGAAAAATCTTGTAAAATTGACAACATGTAAAGCTGGATAATTGGGAACCTTTTTTGCCAATTCTCAACAGTCAAATCACTCTCCATCGATTACACTTATAAGTTTCTCCAAATTCTGATTTCCTAATAATCATCTGTTTTTTTGGGAATGGATTAAAACTTATATCAGGTTCCCTTGTGATTTTGGAATTTCAATTTGGAATTCAATTCAAAAGCTTTGCTTTTCTTATTGCTATTCATCTTTACTCCTGAAAAAACACAAGAACGATTCAAACAACCCAGATAAAATACTTTTGTTTTTAAACATCAGAAGTTGTGCACCCAGTAAAAAATGCAAATACGCAGTTTACAAAAATTATTGCAAAAACTCAAAGAATTTTTTGCTCATGCATATAGGACAACATAGGTTTTTGAAGCAGTAAAAAATGAATAAAAACCTTGTCTTATATGCAAGTAAATATGGTATATTAGCAATAATGACATTAGATCTTAAATGCACAAAATGTACTATAAAATGGACCTGAGTTAAATGTTAAATGAAAAATTTTGTAGCATCTAGAATTAAATTTATTAAGATAAATATTAAAACGTCAGAAATAAATCTATTTGATTAATATTGGAAGAGAGATGTGAGGTAATTTTTCATATTTGTCTCAAAAAACAAGTAAGACATCAGCTGTTTTTAATATATTAAAATTTCTCTCTGAATGTTTGTGAAAACATTAATAATTTTTAAAATTATTATTTTTATTTTTAATCCACATGTTGATTATATTTCTTAAACATATTGTACTGTACATGCCATTGATTCTTGCATGTGATTTTTTTTATAGCAATTGTGAGAAATTTATTTTAGCTAATTAATATCACAGAAACAGTGACCAAATGATGAATCTTGATTAACATTCATATGACAAACAATTATTACAAAAATGTAAAGATAATGACAAATATGAATGATGGTAGATAAAGATGAATCACAAAAAAAAGTAATTTTTGTCATTGTTGCCAATAATATGAATGCCACTTTATTATAAAAGATTTTTTGTTTTTAATTATACACTAATTATATTTATAAATTACACAATATTTCAGTCAATTAAAGGATTTGCTCTTAGTTGTTTTGAATATGCATTAATGAAGAAATGGCCTCTCTACATGAGTACCAAAAATACAATACTTAAGAGATATGATGGGCGATTTAAAGATATATTCCAAGATATATATGAAAAGTAAGAGAATATGTTAAATTAATTTAAATTTTAGATATTTATGCAATGATTAATAGACAGTTTATCTTTTGATCTTGTAAATATTTAAGTTGTGTTTAGATTATAGTATTGCATGAAATTGAAATATTAAACTTATTATAAAGTAGCTATCTTAGTGTTTATATGATAAAAATAAAACATAAGCTTATGGATTTTAACTAATATAACTGAAATAGTTATGAAAATACAGTGGAAACTTGATATCTGAACTTGATAGGACCGGAGGTTTTTCAGATAAATTAAATTTGGATAATCAAGAAACTTGTTTGCTTTTGTGTTCTGGGTACTGTACATCAAGCACTGTGAATTTAAAGTTTCGTGAACTGTAAATATTGTAATGCAGTTACTGCATTTGAAGATAAATTAATTTACTCAGAATCTAATGCAATGTTATGTGTGTTACTTAGTTTCATGGGGCTATAATTGACATATGATGTAGTAATTTCTAGTTACATGGAGAATTTTGTCTCTATGAACTCATAATATATGCTCTGGTATATACAATGCTACAGGTTCTGTTTTCATATATTTATTTTTATTTCTTGTCCAAACCATTTCAGATAACAAAGTTTCTACTGTAAATCAGAATAATCAGCTGCATTATTATTTATGCATGTTTTAATGTTGTTATTAAATACATAACCAAATGATCACCTTAAATACTCGGGCTATAAATCTGCTATTTTTAAGAATTAATACTAAGTAATTTGCTACTAGAAGTAAACATTAGGTGCCATCTCTTATGTAAATTAGTAATTTTAATTTAAATAATTTAGAATCATCTGGAAGAAACTGGGTGATGCAACTGGCAAGTGGAGGTTGCGGGTTCAAGCCCCTCTCCGGGCCAGTTATTTTCTTTCAGATGATTCTAAATTATTTAATAAAATTATTTAAATTAAAATTACTAATTTACATAAGAGATGGCACCTAATGTTTACTTCTAGTAGCAAATTGCTTAGTATTAATTCTTAAAAATAGCAGATTTATAGCCTGAGTATTTAAGGTTATTGTTTGGCTATGTATCTATATATTATTGGGCTTTAGGTTGTTTAATATAGTTGTTACTAAAATTTAATTGAAATTAAAATTTTCCTACTTAATATATCAGTAATTATCAAATAATTTATATTATACTAAGTTTATTTAATTTTGCAGAACTACTTTAAAAAGAACTTTAGTTTTATAATTATATAACAAAATTTTTTAAACTGTTTGCATTAACTTCCAAGGAACATCATTGTAGAACTACTTTTAAAAAACAGGTTTTTCATTGTATTTAGAATGAATTCAGTTTCTTCAATTAACATTATGTTATAATTTGCTTAGTTCAGTTTAGTTATTTCAGTCAAATGTTAAAATTTTAATCAGTGCATTTATTATACTGTATATTAATTTAGTCTTTTTGGCTAAAATTGTATATATATACTTGGTTTTTATCAATTCTATTTTTTATTTATATTTATATTATTTTATTTTATTTATATTTGAAATATAATTATTATTTTGCAGGAGTTACAGGAAAAAATATGAAGATGCGGGCATTTGGTATGAACATAGGTTAATTGATGATATGGTTGCGCAAGCTTTGAAATCATCAGGAGGATTTGTATGGGCATGTAAAAACTATGATGGTGATGTTCAATCTGATGTTGTAGCTCAAGGTAAAATTATACTTGTAGACCATTCATAATAAATTACATAAATCTAAAATTTAATTTTTATATGCAAAACTTATTTAAAAGTTTTTTAATAACTTACACAATTAAAATTTTCTAGTGACATTCCAAAATAAATGATAAATTTTCATTTCATATACTGAAATAAATGATATTACTATCGAAATAATTTTTTTTTACATTTTTACTACAGCTAATGATTGAGGAGAAATAATTAGGATAAAGTACTTTTATTAGCATTACAAAGAAAACAATACAACAAATTTTAAATTTTTAGTGAATATTTTTGGGCATAAGTAAAATTGTTAATCAGGCATTACTTTTATTGATTTGTTTGGAAAGTTCATAGCGATTTTTAAGAAAAATAAAAAAAACTGTTTTAAAACTAAAAATATACTTTTATTCCATTATGTATGTGCCATTGTTCTTAATGATGTGCTGCCATCTATGAGGGAGCTTCATGATACCCTCTTCATAGAACTTTCCAGTTTTTCCCATGAAAAGCTGATCCATGTGGTTTTTTGCAAGCTTCTAAAGTATTAAAGTTTTTATTATGAAGGGAATTTTGCAGAGAACAGAACAAATTGTAGTCTGACAGGGCAAGGTCAGTATGGGGATGGGGTAAAACATCCCAGCCTAGTTTCAATAATTTTTGGCGTGTTCATAAAGATGTGTGCAGTCTGGCATTATCTTGGTGAAACACAATGCCTTTTTTATTGGCTATTTCCGGACGTTTTTCTTTAATTGCCATGTTCAGTTTATCAAATTGGGAACAATACTTATCAGAATCAATTGTTTGATTTTGTGGAAGCGGCTCATAGTACAGGATTCCTTTCAATCCCACCAGATGGTGACCTCCTTTGGATGAAGACCGGCCATTGGAGTTTTTAATGATGGTTCATTTTTCTTACTCCATGATCGTTTTTGGCTGATATTCTTATAAATGATCCACTTTTCATCACCTGTCACTAAATGCTTCAGAAAAGGGTCATTTTCATTTCATCTTTAAAGAGAATCAAAAATGGAGATGCGATCCAGTAAGTTCTTTTCCATTAAGTCGTGAGGTATCCAAATAATGTAACAATTCACGTATCCAAGCTTCTTTAGATGTTGAAATACAGTACTGTTTGATGACTTCACTATGTCTGCAATCTCTTGAGTTGTGTAATGAGGGTTTTCATCCTCTAATGCTTTGATCTGGTCCTCTTCAATAATGGGAGGTCTTCCTGAACAGGGAACATCTTCAAGGCTGAAATTACCTGCTTTAAATTTTGCAAACCACTTTCGAACAGTTGATTCTATTACAGCACTCCCAGCATAAACATCGCACATTTTTTTTGCTGTTTGTACAACATTTTTGCCTTTATGATAAAAAAAAAAAAAAGAAACAAGTGTCAATAATGCACATTTGCATCCATTTTTGCAGTGAGACAAATTAAACGATATTTGAATAATCTTAACTGTTTTTTTTTTTTTTGTAACGGATGCATCTCAAAGTCATTTTTCATAATATTCATTGGTTTGTACAATTCTAATCATTTTCACATCAGTCAGTGTCTCAACTGTCGGCTATCAAAAATTGCTACAAACTTTTAGAACAACCCAATATATAAAAATTTTGTGTATTTTTATAAAGTTGCAATTTCTGATAAATATTTATGAATATATATTTAAAATGATTTACAGTTTTATACTGTTTCATTTCATAATGTTAATCAGATGAATTTACTATTTCTTTCTTTTTTATACTATAAATTGTGTATACATGTATGTACTGATTTAGAAAATTGTAGTGTTTCATAATCTTCATTATATAGATATAACAATGAATAATTTGAAATATAATAATTCTTAATAATTCAAATTGTTATCAGATGTGTTGTAGATAACATTTTTTTTTGTCGAAAAACACAACATTGCTAGTCAGTCATCAGCCTATGTTTTGCAATAATGATAGTGATTTGCAAACTTTAAGGATCATACCAATAGATATATTTCTCCTGAAATATTTATTACTTCATACTAATACCATATTTTAATTTCTGGAAAGTACCAAGATTACACCTTTAGATATGGAGTTCCAAATAATTTCACTGTTAATATTTTCTGTAAATTCAGATATAGCAAAAAAAATGATATTACATGATTATGGCAAATATTCATTTCTTTTACTGTTTAACAAAATTTCTCATGTATGAAAACATTTTCCAATATCCATTATTAGTGAAGAGTTATAATCAGATAAAATTATATATAATTAAATCTAAAATTATAAATCTATTCTATAATGGGTATAGCTATATGAAACCACTACAGTTCTGTTCTCAGATGATAGCAAATAATGTTCAAGAATTTGTTTTTTCTAAGTAGACAAAATTCTTTTCATAATAGTTTTTGTAGTATACTAGCTTACCCGTCATGCATTGCTGCGATCTCAGAAGAAAGGAAATTCAAGCAAACTCGTTATGATAAAATTCAATTTACATTTTATCATTTTTATTGAAACTTATTATTATTCATTTTCATCGGGAAAACATTTCAAAGTGTTGTTTCAATTCTATTTATTTATTGGAGTGCTTGTGGATACACAATATTTTTTGTTTTTCCGTCTGGTGTGTACACGAATAAATCAGAAGGTTTTCAGACGTGTGAGCTGGAAACATACAGTTGTCCATGTGAGAAGCACAGATTCTCCAAATTTTGCCCACACACTTGCAGTGATTGTCAGAAGTGCGATATTCCCCATTTTTATATATATTTTTTAATCCTTTACAATTTTAATTATTTAATTGCTCTTTCCTCTCTTCCTTGGCATGTTGTGAAATTTCTGATAGTTGGATAATAAACCGTTTTATTGTAATTTGTCTTTTTAAATTATTTTGAGTTGATATTAAAATTTGGAAAAGGGGATCCCTAGATCGATAAAATAGGCGAATTTCCTCCTACAACTTCAGTTGTTGTTCGGGATACAGTTAAGGTTTTAACAAAGTTTGAGCGAATACATAATTAGCAAAAAATAGTTGAAATAAAGTGATTAAACAAAAATGATTACAAATATCGTAAATAACAGTTCACAAATGCATATATAGAGATATTTTTTGGAGGGGGAAATGGTCTTCACAATTTGAAATCGATCAAACACACAGTAAAATGCTCGTATACATGCGCGCCATCTATCGTAGGATAAATGTACTATGCCAGAAACCTTCACGGGAGTGTATTAAACAACTTCCCAAAGTTTCACGGCAATCAGATAAACGGTGTGGTAATGCATGAAGGACAGACAGACACACAGACATACATTCATTATATATATATATAGATTATTTACATTATGGAAACATTTAGAGTATATTTTTAATGTAGTTTTATTGTTGAATCTGTCTATCTCAAACATGTTTATCTCAAAATTTATTTTTTCCCCTGCATTTTCAGCCTAAATTCAATATATTTTCCTTGTTTATCTCAAATAATTTTCTCCTAAAACCTCCATCTCAAATTATGAACTGAAGTGTTTATTACAGTCAAAGTTCAGCAACTACACTTTCAAAGCATAAATTGTAGTTGAGAAACATCTCTTACAATACAGTATGTAGGTTCAATTATCACTGCTTTTCTCTGGTTGGCTATGAGTTTAGTTTGTGTCTTATTGTCTGATGAAAGTCAGCCATCAGAAACTATTGACAAAGTATTTCAGTTAAGATATATCAAAAATATTTTATTTATACCTAATATAGTTATGTACTGTACTTGCTATTGTATTAATAAAATACCATACTGCCAATCAAATGTATTACCTCTATATCTTAAAACCTGCCTATCTCAAATTTTTTTTTCCTCATTCCCGTATGATTCAAGATAGATAGGTTCAACTGTTTATTAATTTCTGTATTGCCTCCTTTGGTAGAGGCACTATTGCATTAAACTTATCTGCATGATTCACAATGTAGAATATTAACACTTCCAACATTTTCATATTTGTAATAAACAAAACATAGATTAATTTACATTTTTAGTATAAAAATTTTATAATGCATGGATAAAGGTTAAAATCTCATTACCATTCTACCTACTGTACTTAAATTCTACTTACTTACCTAATATTTAAAAAAAACAAAAACAAAAATATAGGAGCCAATAAATTTACCTCAATTATTATATATTCAATGTTTAATATATCTAACTTTAATATAACTATTGCTAAATTATCACTAATATTTCAAAGCAGTTTTACAATCTGCTGTGAAATATTAATGATCAAATGAAAATGTTAGGATGAATCAAAACATTTTCATTTGATTTATATCAAAACTGTATATTTAAAATTGTAATATGAAATTTATTAAAATTCTTTAAATCTGTTTCATGATTATATCAAATATAATTAATTTTAACAGTGATCTTTTTTAAAACTTACTTACTTCTCAATTTATTATCTGTGGTGGCCTAACCTCTTGTTGCTTCACTCACTTTACTCATGGGCTTTACCAACTTGTTCCCATTACAGACTATTCATAACAAATATTTCATAATGATTCATCGAGTTCCTTTTTTGAAAGGATTAATGCCTTGAACATCAGTTTACATGATGTTGATTAAGAATCCAGTTTGGTTTTAGATTAATTAAATTGTGCTTTTTAACTTTGTTATTGGAACTTTTATATTATCTCTGGTCACTAAAAAGTTACAACATAAGCAACCTTTAAATCATTTTCAAGATCAACAAGAAAGGTTCCATCCACTTCTCTATGCATGACTTTCTATGTAACTATATTAACATAATTAATATAGCTTCAGTACTTTTGGGAAAAAAGGGTGAAAGGGACTTTTGACTCACCATGTATATATATATATATAGAATAGATATAAATAAATCTTTATTTACTATAAAATTAATATTTAATTAAAATAATATTCTTTCATAAAAATTATTTTAATAATGATATTTATGCTTTTATTTTTAATTTAGGTTATGGTTCATTAGGATTAATGACCAGTGTTTTAATCTGTCCGGATGGCAAAACAATAGAATCAGAAGCAGCTCATGGTACAGTGACAAGGCACTTCAGAGAACATCAAAAAGTAAGAATTGACCTTAAGTAAAAAATAAAACTTGGTAAAAAAATGTTCTGTTAACTTATGAAGTTAGCTTCATATTTATACTGATAATAGTTTCATATAAGGTATGCTGATAAATATTTCAAAAATAGATTAGATTTTCTGTTAATAGTTTTAATTACATCTATAATTATATGAGGGCAGTTTTTTCAAGCTCCGATGGTCCATAAAACAAAGACAAGTGTAGATATCAAAATAAATTTATTACCAAAAGTTAGGTACAAACATGGTTACTTTTCAACATAATCACCATGAAGATTGAGGAATTTGTCATATCTATGGACAAGCTTTTCCATCCCCTTGTTATAGAATGTTGTCGCCAGTGAATTGAGATGGCCTTAACAATGTTGTTTTGAAGATCATCATTAGTCTCAAACCTATGCCCTGCTAGCCACGTTTTCAGTTCAGGAAAGAAGTGGAAGTCTTCACACATTAAAAAGTTCCAAGCTGGTTAGAAGTCTGAAAGGTGGAAGTCTTCACCACCTTTTAAATATCCAGCATATAGCCCCAATTTAGTGCCAAGCGACTTCCACCTCTTTCCTGAACAGGAAAAGTGGCTAGGAGGGCAGAGGTTTGAGACTAATGATGATCTTCAAAACGTTAAAACCCATCTCAAGTCATTGGTGGCAACATTCTATGACAAGGGGATAGAAAAGCTTGTCCACAGATATGACAAATTCCTCAATCTTCACAGTGATTAGTCAAAACATAGCCATGTTTGTACCTAACGTTTGGTAATAAATTCATTTTGTTATTTACACTTTGTTTTTTTCAAGCTCCATAAAAAAAAAAGACGTCTATGTAATAGTTTTATACTTAAATATCAGATTTAAATATAAGCATTTATATAGTTTTTAATAAATTAAATATAAAAACTTCATTTATTGCTTGCATATTAAGATTTTGTTCATAAAACTTAAATTTTCAGGGTAATCCAACAAGCACAAATCCGATTGCAAGTATATTTGCTTGGACAAGAGGTTTGGAGCATAGGGCAAAATTAGATGGAAATAATGATTTAAAGAAGTTAGTATTTCTTTAATTTATACTTTTGACATTATTTATAAATTAATATATTAAAGATACTAACAAAAACACCACAATAAAGAAAAATTATATTTCTATGTTCTCCTTATATTAATGTAATACTAAGTATTAATGTTTATAGGTAAACTTGATTATAAAATTATTTAAAATTAATATAAATTTTTTATAATTAGATTTTGCACAAGTTTAGAAAAAGCATGTGTTGATACAGTTGAATCAGGAAAAATGACAAAAGATTTAGCTGGATGTATTCATGGAATTAAAAAGTAAGCATAAACATTAATTAAATAATAAATAAATAAATTATTATTTAATTTATTGTTAGTTAAATAAGTGTGAATATTAATATGAAAAACAAGTCTCTTTCTTATGAAAATAGAATCATTGGCATCAATTAAGTTTTCAGAAGTAAATGTATAATTTTCTATTCTTTCCATAATTTAAAACTTACTTGAATTTTTTCTTAAATGTTATAAATTTCTAGATTTGTTAAATAACTATAAACAACTACAAAGTTCAAAAATGCATTTTTGCCAGATTGTATCTTTTATCTAAATATATTTGTGCCAGCTCTGATAAATTTTGCAGAAAAACTGATTAAGAATATTATTCAAAATTACTTATTTACTTGCAATATAATAGTAATGTCACTAAGTTTACACATTATTTAATTATAAAACTATACTGTTAATTATTACACTTTTCAATATCTATGAACAGAAATATTTAATTATATTATAGTTAGATAACAAATATAGAAAAAGAAATTCCATCACTTGTTTATGAAAACATTTATTTCAAAAATCAAGATCTATATAAAAAATAGAATAAACTTGAGGTGTATCAGATACCTTCATTTTTATGAAAATGAAATTACTATATATTTTATCAATGTTATAAATACTTCAATTATAAATAATCTTTTTGCTTGAACTCGTTTAATCAATTTTTTTGAAGTATATAAAGAATATAACAAAACTTATTAGAACAAATTTGAAATATAAAATTACATAATACAAACTAATTCTAATTCATATGAGAATATAAATTAGGCTGAAAACATTATGAAGTTTGAATAGAGAATTGCTGTTCCTTGGTGTTGAGTTGTGTCAAACAGTATCAAAGAGCAGCATGAGTACCTTTATTTTGTCAAATAAATCGTCATTAAAACTTTTGAAAAATCATAGGTATAGTTTAAATCAGTGATGTCCAGCCTGCAGGCAGCATGTGGCCCCCTCAATGTTTTTGTGCAACCCTTTTAAAACAGTAATTATCTTGTATAGATTTTTAGTATAATGAAATTTCACATATATAGTTAAATACATTAATATGATGTATAACACATTATCATGTACTGTACACTCAGAAATTAAAACAGTATTAAATATTTTTTAACAAATCTTCAAATGTATTACATATAATATATATGTAGGTACAGTACGTATGTATTTAATCAGTATGTTTACAACAACAAATATTTTTAAATTGGTGTTTTGGTAAAATGAAATTATTTTTCCTTAAATTTACCATATATGTGTAATAAATGTCAAACAGTAGACACATTCTTAAGTTACAACGGTCTTCTGTGTTTCCAATAAATGATAAGAAATTTTATTGTTTTTGTTTTCTTTAAATTTTTTGGAAATAAGTCTAATAAAATTTTAATTAGAATTACACATTTACATTTGCATATAGATATAAAATTTCAAATCATTCCTTATTTAGATTGTTAATGGGTTTAATTATGTTTTACTGTGCAAGTTATTTGATTATAGTCAGCCACCAAGGGGTGTTTCATGTAAAGGTTATGTTCTGTAGGTCATTTCAAAATTGGATGATTGTTAGTTACTTGTTTTCTTTTCTTTGACCTGGCAGCCATTTTTAATAAAGTTATTCTCTTTAGCTGTCTCTGCTAATTAAGTCATGGAAAATGCTTAAGAAATTTTGGAAATTGAGAGAAGAAATTTAAATTTTTATGAATGAAAAAGATCAGAATGTTCCTAATTTTTATGATGGTCAGTGATTTCTAGATTTATGTTTCCTTTCAACTATCACAATGAAATTAAACAAACTTAATAAACAGTTTCAAGGTGAAAATAAATTGATCACAGACAAATTGATAATTGAAGTCTGTGATTAATTATAGAAGCATTCATAGCAAAACTCAAACTTTATGAAAGTCAGTTAAAATCAAAAACTACAATTCATTGTTCAAAATTACATAAATTTAATAGTGACAAAAAACATTTTTCTAAATATGCACAAGAAATTACTAATTTACTAAGAGAATTTCAAGAAAGATTTTCATATTTAAAAATTTATGAGAATATATTTAATATTTTCTTATGTCCATTTGACATTGTTGTGGAATTAGCTCCAACAAATTTGCAGATAGATTTCATAGATCTCCATTCATCTTCTGAATTGAAATATATGTTTGGGGCCAATAACAAAGTTCAATTTTATACAAAATATATCTGTAATGATAAATTCCCTAACCTAAAAAAATGCGATGATCATTACAGCTGCAATGGGAATCACCTATCTTTGTGAATCTTTTTTCTCAAAATTGAAGATTGTTAAATGTAAAAGTCGTAATTGATTGACTGATAAAAATTTTAAAAAACCAATTATGTTGTACAACATCAAAAATACCTGTTGATATTAAAAAATTAAGTGAAAAAATTGAAAAGCAAGTTTTACATTAGAATACATACAAAATACTATATAATTTTATGTTTTGTTGTAAATAAATGTGCGCGGTCCACATTGTACTTTTATTTTTGGTTTTGGCCCAGTAAATAATTTCGGTTGGATAACACTGGTTTAAATAATTACTTAGAAATATAATTTAAAATTTTATGAAACTTTTAAAGCAATCATTTCATTTTCAGAGGTGCTTAAATGTAAAAATTACATTTATTTTTAATATTAAAAAGTCAAATTTTGCATTTCTACTTTTTCTAGCAAAGAAAATGATAAAGATTTTTATCATTTTTAGTAAAAGTTTTAGTATTATTAATAGAACTTTTCTTATGATGATGATAAAATTTTATTATAATAAATACTAAATAATCTTTAGTTAAAATACAAGTTGTACAATGCTTAGTTTATTATAGAATAAGATTTAGGTTTTTGTACTGGGGCTGATTTTAAAATTTTATAATAATTTTAATTTTTTTATTGTAATTAATTTGTGTTTATAATTTTCGGGATAAAATTTATTGCTTATTTTTATTTATTTATTTTTTTTTGTTTTAGCGTTAAAGATGGTGATTATCTATATACTATGGATTTTCTAGAAGCTATTGCTGAAAACTTGGAGAAGGAAATGAAGAAATAATGAAATTTTCTTTAGGAAAATAATTGCAGCTGAACTAAAAAAAAATATAAAAAAATAATCAATACTGTGATCTTACAAATTCAGGATTTAGCAAAGCACTTCTACATATTATTTACCAAATCACTTTTTTAAGAACAATATTAAAGAATTATTTAATATTTAAATTACCTATGGTTAAAATATTTTGTAAACATTTTTATTGCATTTTTAATATTGATCATGTATTGGTTAAAAATAAAAAGTTATAAAATCCAGAAAATATTTTTGAAACTAATGAAAAATTTACTTAATTTATTACATGAAATTTACTTTAACTCTTAAAAGTATATTTAAATTTAGAATATTTAAAAGTTTTTCTTATAAATGCATAAATTGTTTTTAAAGTTTGATGATTACTTTGATTAAGTACTTTCATTGCACTTTAATATTCATTCATGATAAATCAGAATTATGTAATATTCTATTTAAATCCAACTTTATATGCTCAATAGATAAGAATAGTTTTAATAATCTTGCATTTATTCATTCATATTTAGTAGACATGATTGTAGTTGTATTTTTCTATTGAAATGCATTCATCACAATTATGTTTAAATAAATAAACATAAGATATAATTATTAATATAATACATAGTGGTAATGTATATATTGACATTACTTAGTAATATATTATATTATATTAATATTAATGTTATGTATAGTTTTATAATGAATCAGTGGCGTAGTGTAGTGGGGGCGGCACTTTTGGAGGGCGGCAAAATTTCACAAATAATAATAATATCTTATAAAAATTTGAACCATTTCATTTCATATTTTTGTCGCACCTACGATTCGGACCAATTGAAATGAGCATGGAATTTTTCATTACTTATTCTGTGATGAAACTGAATTTTAGTCTTTTAAATTGAGATACCTAAATAAAGGTATGGCGAAATTTTCCTCCGCCTGGGCGGCTGACACCCACACTACGTCGCTGTAATGAATCTATCATAGTTGATAGATTGAAATTTTTTTAAATATTAGAAATTAACAAATTATACATACACATTTAATTATTAAAATACTTGATTAATTGTTTTTTAGAAATATTTTTGAATTCTTATTTTGTTTTAAGGCTGATTGTAGCTTCTTTGGTTATGTATGCAATTGCTAGCAAAACCCAATTATCCAAGGCAGGGGTGGTAAACCTATGGCATGTGTGTTCAAAGTGGCACATAGAGAAATCATCTGACATGAAATGTATCATATGATTTGAGTTCATCATCTGTCCTTTTCAATCATTCTTTCAATTTCACACCTGATAATTATTTTTAGCAATCAGTTTTTTACATTTATTCTAATTAAAACCTATTTGTTTAATTTCTTTAAATATCTTTATTTGAAATCAAACTTTGGCACGCACAAACATTTTGAAGGTAAGTAAGCATACTTACCTTTAAGCTATATGGCATGTGCATGCAAGAAGGTTCACCATCCCTTATTCAAGGTAATGTGGACTGATGCTAGCTTGGATAACTGAAAAATTGGATAAAGAGACAGCTGTGATCATTTCAGATTAAAAATTATGGATATAAAAGATTAACTATCATGCTAGACACCAACCAAAGTCAAATGCTATTGGGCTAGAAATGGCTATATTTCTAAATAAACTATGAAAACAATTTGTCACTAGAGGGAGGTGTTAAGCACTTTAACTTAATAACTTTAATAATTATAATTTTTAATTCATTAATTTTAAATAATTTAGAAATACTGGAAGAAAAAATCGGTCCAGTGTGGGACTCGAACCCACAAACTCCTGCTTTACTGTGCAGATGCATTGCCCGATAGTATTTGGCTTTGGTTGGTGTCTAGCTTTATAGTATATCAGGTTTAGCGATGTTGTTTGTTTATTAACTATCACTTTTGAGCCTCTGTTTTATACTTTAATGAATTTAATCATAGAATACCAATATATGAGAGTGGTTTCTTTTACATCATTTATTATACAGCTAATAAGTACAATAGTTTTAAGGATAAAAGTGTGTATTTTAGTTACAATATTTTCTCACATTGAAATTAAAAGTAAAATGATAAACAGTAACAAAAATAAATAATTTTGCAACACATGTTATTGTTTCAAACTTTCTTTAAAAAGTCCTTTAACGTTTTTGTTTTATAGCGGTTCCTCACTTCTTGCTGCAATGTTCTGCAGCCACCTCAGCATCAAAATACTGGTGGGTGTAATGATGCATTACACCCACCAATATTTATGGCTGCTGTTTAATATATGAAGTACTGTCCTGATGACATTTAGACTGGCTGTATGAGAAATCTTATGTGGATTTTCTATGCAGTCGTCATTCATCTTTTTGTTGCATTACTAGATTCGATTAACAATAATGTCATCACTATGTTCATCATCATTCATCCATTCGTCAATGCCTTATTCAGTTACATCCTTGATAACTAGTAGAGTTTGCCAGGTCTAAGAGAGGTATTTCAGTATTGGGCACACTTTTTTCTTGGTTGACAGAAATATTCCTCTAGCTTTTAACGAGCATTAATTTCTTATCATTATTCCAAGATTCTGCCAACTAGTAAATTACCTCTTTTAAATTAATTTTTTTAGACTTTTTAGGCATTTTCTAAATCTTCTAGATGTTTCAGAAGTTGTTGCCATTAATTGTACTTTGTTTTGTACACCTTGGTGACAAGTGACTGGATAAGAGGTGTTACATTGTGGGTAAGATAAGAGCTTGAATATCTCCACTAACTAGTTCACTTTAGTCTGAATGAGTTGGGTCAAAATGTCTGACTGATTCAGATGCTTATCAAAAATTGAGTATCTTATGTGGAAGATTGTTTTCATTCAAAAATCATTTAATGCTTAGAACAAAATCTTGATTGAGCCATTTTGTAAATAAAAATGAATCCATCCATAAGATAATTTTGTTTATTAATATTTTTAAAAGCTCTTGAGTGTTTTTGGTTTTTTCTTTTTTATTTTGCTAGTGACGGTTGTAATCAGGAGCTGACTTTTTTCTCTAGAAGCAACTGTTTTTGACAGCATTTTATAGTTCAATTTGATTTCATTGCAATTGTAAACTTGTTGCAAACTTAAGTTTTCATTTCCAATTTTGTGTAATTGTACTAAAAATACTACTATCTCTTCTGTGTTACTGACATCTTCCAAGTGATTTTCAACTATTTTTCCCCATAAATTTTAAACAAAAAGTTAAAATAAAACAATTATTATTTTGTTTAAAATTAAATAAATTTTGATTTTTATTTATTTACTTTTCTATTTATTCAAACTTGTGTTCAAATCGAAGAATTTGATTTGTATTCAATTCCAACAGCTTTGGATTTGTAATATACTGTTTAACTTTCAAATTCTTCACTAGGTGACAAGATATGAATACTGTCAAAAATATTTGTAATGTTTTTAAGTTTTAACATATTTGATGACACACTAACACAATCAATTCTAGTGACACTAACAATAGTCAAATAGACAATGGGTTGAGGAGAAGTGAGTGAAGAATATCCACATTCCAACCATCACTAGCACACTGAGGTTAAAAGTAGGACAGCATTTATGTGCTTGGTACAGTCACATCAAGGCTTTTGTGAATTATAAGAAAAGTAGGGTTTACAGGTTTACCTTGGATAATGGAGAGTTTCAATGAATTAGAACTTGGAAATCAGGATTCTACTGTAATCCTAAATTACTTATTAATTTTGAGACTTAAGTTAGAAATAATTCATTTTTATACAATAGAAATTTAATTATCTTTAATTTTCCATATAAAAATTTATTTACAGTATTTGCTATTACACTTGTATCAATCAAAACTATGCAAACAACATTAAAAAATGTTAATTTTATTATTTAAAATATTACTTATATAGATTAAAAAGAGATTAATGTGTTTAAGATATACTCTTATAAAGTCAGTCTGTTTAATAATATACAATGCTAATATATTTAACATGTTTGTCTGAAAATGAATGTCAACAGATGTAAATGAAAGATAATAATAGGTTAATTATCTTAATATTGAAAAATATGTAAATTTGCTCATTTCTGATTCCACACACATTGGATTTTTTATGTTAACTGCTTTTATGCTTTCTACTTCAAACAATGCATTCGGTTAAACTTTTTTAGAAGTTGTAAAATGTTAGTTTATTAAATGTTTTGATGAAATATTTAAAAATATAAATTCATTATTATTAAACATCTTGAAGAGAGGAACTGTAACAAAAAACTTTTTCTTATTTCTCATTGAACTATGGGTGAATTGCTCTGAGAATGAAGAAAAATCTCATCAAAACCATTACTTATTTTTTCAAATTTGTAAAATTGTATGTAAATATTAAAAAGTCAGAATCGATTACATTAACAATAGAAAATTCATTTTCTTTAGAATAGCTTTTTAAATATTTTAACTATATTCTAATAATGTATTATTAAAATTTCCTAAAAGTATATGCAACCTTTTGAATCCTAGTTTAAAATGTTTCCATTATTTTGGGATTATTTTTAGTTTCAAATGATATGAAATGAAAGCAGTTGATGCCAATTTTATATAACAATTGATATTTTATTTGTTTGCCAATAATATCAATTTAAACATGAAATCTGAATTTCCATTGGCATTATTTTTCCATTATTTATTTTAGTTTTCTTATAGAAGACAAGTAATCTGCAACCATTTACTATTAGGGATGATTTAAAATGATATTTTATTACAAGAAAATTTTTATACAGAAAATTCAGAGATTTGATTTATATTAGAGATAGGTTTTGTAAAATTTTGAATGTTCTATTGCAACTCATACAATTTTCTTAAAATATTAACAGGAATTTATCAAGAAGCTAAAATTTCCTTTTGTTATATTTCTACTTATATTATAGAAGGTGTATATGGACATAATTTTATAACAAATAAATAGATTTTTTTTTAATGTTTTCATATTTATATCTAATAAATTTTTTATTAATATACTTTTCACTTCACAAATAAAATTGTATTACTTAAATTTGAAGTTAGCACCTT